AAATTAATTTTGTGAGTAATTTGGCAATTACTGTATTCAGAAACCACATTCCCTGTGCTCTCTCTATATGGTCACTTTGTTATGATTTGTAGTCATAGAGATGGACCGTGTGTCCAGCCTTACTTATTCATACTGTGTTCATTGTCTACTGAATGAAGCAAACAGACACATGAAGCCAACATTGCAGGACTATATGATACTTTTTCACATGGATCTTTGAATAACTTGCCCCAAAAGATCTGGGACACTAATGATTCCTGGGAGCACGTTAGAATATTTTACTTGCTTTGTACTTGGTATTTCCTTTTCAGAATGGCTTGGCTAGTGCTGAGAGCAGAGAACTGTAAGTGTACTCAGGTTTCAGTGTGGCCCATTGAGAATGATGTATTTGCGTGATACTTCTCCAAATTGGACAGGCAAAGAATCTTCCTGGGGATTTCATAAAATGACAGATTCCCAAGTGTTTCTTCCTAAGTCTCTGCTCCATTTTTGTAGGCTCTGGCCAGTTTTCCACCTTCAGGAAGTTTTGGGAATGACTGTACTCCAGGTAGCCCAGGGAAGTGTAGACAACATTTTGAGGAGTGAAAAATTAAAGTGCTGTACAGATGAGGTATAGTGTACAAAAGACACTGAGGTTCTATAAACAAGGTGTACATAAATGTTCATAAAAAGGGTAGTTCATGAGTCTGAGTGGCTGGTCTTAAGTCTGAACAGCATGCTTAAGATGTAAGTCGGGACACTTATGAAATAGGTAAGCCATGGGCCGGCCAGATAGCTCAGTGGACTAAAGCGTCTGCTTGGGCAGAGCGCAGCACCCGGGTTCGATCCCCAGCATGCTGTGCTGGCCCTGCCTACAGAGTGTGCTGAACTGACAATTGAGACTGGGCGTGGTGGCGTGCGCCTGTAATCCCAGTGCATGGGAGGCGGAAAATAGGAGTATCACCATGAGTCCGACCTATGTAGTGAGGCCTCATACTATATACAAAATGTACTACATACACAAGTAAATAAATACATAAATAAATAGGTAGGCCATTAAAAAGGAATATCTGATTTTCATAAATGGAGAAGTAGAAAAAAGTTAATTGTAGAGAGAACACATGCTTAATATTAGGGTGAGATGACTCAACTCAGAAACTAAGTATTATAAACAAAAACAAATTGATAGAAAACACATAAAGAAATGATACATTTTTGAGTAAACAATAAGCATGTTGATGAGGGCGGCTTTATGCCATAGGCTGTAAGGTTTCATCTTCTTGTGTACCAATACGATTCTAATTTTATGTAGAAAATAATTTGTAAGTATTATTGCTGTGCCAGAGAGATAGCTCAGTGGCATAAGAGCCTGTCTGGCAAGCACAATGTCCCTCATTAAATCCCTGGTATGAAAAAAAATTAAATTAAAAGAAGCAATATAATTTTTACTGCAGATTACTAATTGTCTTTACTTTCAACAGAGAAAGAAATGACAGCCTAATGCTTTTATACTGCAGTAAACCAAGAAACTATTCTCTTAAATTTATGAAATTAAAATATATCCCAGGCCTGCTGTGCTGGCCCTGCCCCTAGGGTGCACTCAGATGGCAATTGAGACTGAGTATGGTGCTGGCGCCCGTCATCCCAGCACTTGGGAGGCTATAAACAGGAGGATCACTATGAGTCTGCTCTACACAGTGAGACCCTGGAGACCCTGGAGACTCTGCCCTAAATACAAAAAGTAAATAAATAACAATATAGATGCATGAAAAATCGTCTTGTAGGGTGACTCTTTGATGGTTTTAGGAAATGAAACCACAGGATAAATGATATAGTCCCCAGTGACCTCGGGGTGTGTGTGTGTGTGTGTGTGTGTGTGTGTGTGTGTGTCTGTGTGTGTCTGTGTGTCTGTGTGTCTGTGTGTCTGTGTGTCTGTGTGTATGAGTGAGTGTGCACACACACACATGAGTTTGCAAGTGCTTGGTTGTGTGCTGATGAATTAAATCCAGGATTTTGCTCATGCTATGCATTGTTCAATTGTTTTTTATTTCTAATCCTAGTCAACTTATACTTCAAAAGTTAGTTGAGTTTTTAACATAGTCTTCATTTCTGAAAGTTCTTTCTGTAATGAAATATGGCATGCAAAAATTTTAATATTGAATATTTGGTGTAAATAAGGAAAATGTTTCAAAATAATATGTTTTGGGGGCTGGGGAGATGGCTCAGTGGAATAAGCGCTGCCCTGGCAAGCGCAAGGGCCTGAGTTCAATCCCCGGTTCCACCAAAAAATAAATAATATGTTTTATTCTACTTATACAGTAATTATTTTATTTTGATTAGTGACCAAATCTTCCCCTTTGATTAATGCTGAGTAGCCAATATAAAATAATACTAATTGGATCCATGAGACTGTCAACTAGTAAGGGAAGATGTTAGTAACTACTGCTAACACCTCTGATTCACTTACGAATATAATTCAGAGCTTTCTCATTGCTGAGTACCCTTTTCCTATTGAACAAACTTTAACACACTCACTAATCATGTCACTTAATCTTCCATTATTCACTTGGTCTCACTCCTGTATTAAAAGAACACAACTGTATTTCATAAGATAACTCTCTATTGTCAATAAATATGTTAAAATCCCAAGAATATTGAAAATGATTGGCTAAACAGCTTTAGGCAGTTACTATCAAGTGTATTTTAACAAATCTCAGTTTGGAATAAACTAAATATATAGGATAAAGAACCCCATGCAGATGCGCCCATTAAAAGAAGTTTGTAAAGAGCTAATGAGTTTAACCAAGCCAAACGGCTAAACATCTCTCTCCTGAGAACAATCTTCCATTCCATTTACCAATATGAGACTCAGTCCAACGCGACTTTTAGCTCTACTTGCAGTGGCTTTAATTCAGACCCCGTCATGATCTGTCCCCTTTTGATTCAAAGAGCATTTGGTTGAAAGGTGATTCCTCTGTGAGTGCCATCCACCACCTGCACATGCTGGTGAAAAACTCTGCTACATGGCATACAGAGGGAGAGAAGGAAGTTGAATCACCCAATAAATTAGACGATCCTGGACTTCGTGGACAGTATAGATAACCATGGTATGTCTGAGTAACTATCACTTAGCCTTGCATCTCCAACCCTGAGATTCCAGCACTACACTTTCCCTACTGATTAAAAGTTAGTGCACAGCACAAAATACATTTTCCACATCCCTGGAGGAAAAAAAAAGAAAAAATCATATTTTTGCATTAATAAGTACTTTGGGGGTTGAAAAAAATCCTTTTCAATAATTGGCGCTAGGGAGATTTAGCAACCTATAAGACATATTTCCTTAAGATTCTGCTAGGCACTTTGAGTTTCAAATCTAACAGGTAAGTGATAAAAATTGCAACAGTGTGGGTAGAATGTTTTGCAAAGTTGCTGTGTTTGGGAAACTTCCAACCATGATATTTGAAGCACCTACTCCTTCATTTTTTTTTTTTTTGAGACTATGTACATATTAAAGGTAATAGAATCCTGCTCTTTGAAAGTCATCAAAGCAATGTTTTGTAGAACTTATCTGATGTCCACATAGAAAAATATTTTTGTTCTTATTTATATATGTAAATATATGTACATTTTATGTAGAAAAACATGAAATGTCAATGTTTTCAGC